AATGATGAAAAAGGGGTCCCTATGTCCTCCAGCAGTCTAAGCCTATAGCAGCAGAACTATAGAGATAGATCAGGATAACCTGAGCCACTCTAACTAGAAGCTTTATCAAAAAGGAAAGTTTTAAGCCTAGCCTTAAAAGTAGACAGGGTGTCTGCCTCACCTTTTTTTGATTTTTTCCACCTGAGGCCACATTGCCAGACCTCGGTTCACACAGAAGGTTCCGGTCAGCTAAATCTCACCAAGGAGCCCAGATCCTCTGGAGGCGGGAACATGCTCACATCATGGCCCCTCCACCACCGTGCCTTACAGTTTCTATAGGGTGTTTGTGTCGATCTGCCATTTGCTTCTGTTCATCACGGTCCAACGTCTCTGCTTTGGTCTCCTGTCTGGAGGACATTGTCCCAGGCGTTCTGTCCTTCATCCATCTTGGTTCTAGAGAGAAGAAACTTTCAGCCAGGCTGAATCAGGGTCATGACCTTTAACCTTGTTGAGTTTGTTTTTTTGGTCATTTTTCTAAGCTTCCCACTCTGATGTTGGCCTGAAGCTCCCTGGAAGATCAGAGCGTTCTGAGATGTTCTCCTGTAGGATTTGATCATTGTCTCTGCAGGACGAAGGACGTCAGATGGACAAACCATATCCATGGCGTCCCAACAGGCCCACCAGGGTCACTGCTTATATATCTGGCCTGATGCTCCAGAAGGGTGAACGCTGTGATCCAGCTGTGAACCTGGCCGCAGTAGACCGGTTTAAACCTGCACCTAAAGGCTGCAGAGTGAGGCTGGCGGCGGTTTGCTGCACGTGGTCGGCGTGCCTCTGCAGAACAACGAGTCCCGCGGTTTGGCGGTTTCTGACACGTCTCTCAGAACAATGCCTGTTGTCATAAACAAATCAATTACAGACACATAAACAGCTGTGGAATACGCTTCCATGCATTTACAACAGAAGCTCTACATGGAGATGGTTGCCACTGTCGCTCCGTGTTTGAATGTTTTCAGGGCGGCAGGAAGGAATAAGTTTGAGTCGCCAGGCGGAGGACAAGGCAGCTCTTTGAGCCGCAGCAGAGCATGTGTTTATATTTACTGGATGTTATGAGGGCTTGGGCACATGCCACCCCGCTCTTTCACTCTGGGCACCACAGCTTCACTCCACCCAGCTCCAGCGAAGGAGCACAAGGAGCCATTTGAATCCACTTATACACAAAACATGACAAATAACCGAAGCCTGTATTGTCTGATTCCTCCGTGACTCTCTGCTGCTCTGTGTTATGTCTGCCCTCAGAGGGGACCGCTGCTAACCAAATGTGACTGCCGAGGCCCAGAGGCTGCCTGGGTGTAGTGGGAGCTGTGGAGGGGTACTGGTTTATAAGCTGGCTCGGTTTTGGGGAGCGGTTTTTTGGCTCCGCTGTTAAACGCGGAGAATCTTGGAGAGAGTCCAGCACAGTGGGTTTGGGAGCTAGAAAACCGTTAGGAGGGGGAGCTGCAGATGAAGGTTTTTTTTCATCGGATCAGAGCTGAGCAGATGTTGCTCTGCAGCTCTGGAACATTCTGCGGTTATCAGATATCTGGGAGTCTCTCTGCAAACAGCGGCGGCCCACACAGAGTCCTGAGACCCACGCTGATCCTAAACGCCAAAGAGAAGGACTCCTTAAACGACGCTTAGAGGAAGTAAAAACGTTTTGCCGTAAAGTTTCCTCTGTTTAAACCTAAACTTTTTATTTTTTTTCATGAAACGGGAAGGAAAACATTCATCACTCTAACTTCCTGTCTGGCACCTAAAACTGGAAATCCTCAGAAAATCAAATAGACATTTTTTTCCCCTCTTCTTTGAGT